CCCCCAAAAAAAAAAAAATGGCCCTGTCCGGTCCGGTCCAGGTCCGTCTGGTCCGGGGGGAGGGTGCCGCACGCGGCAAAGCGGACCGGACCGGACGCTCGTCCGGTCCGTCTGCTACGACAGTCTACCAACTGTTACAAATACACAGGTCACAGGTTCAATTCTTGGGGTCGACACAGATACTGTACACAGGTAGGGTGAGGTCTAGGGATCGAGCCCTGGGATCTGCATCGGCTACTGCGAACTGGTGAATACCGTTTCACTCCCGCCGGCCTAAATTCGAGGTCCTCCGAGAATAACTCAGTCCAAGGCAGGACCTTTTCCTTTCTTATCTCTTTCATAGGCTCTAACTATGTCGGGAGCTGTCTCTAGAAGTTCTGTTCTCGTAAACCAGCGGTCGTCCTCCGACTCTTGATAAGCAAATCGGACCTTATACTGTTTCTGTGGACGACCTCTACCTCCTGTCCTGAACACATCTTCACCTACAATGCCGTCAATGTCATATCTTCCGTCCATGTCTGGAGGGATCATGGACCGTCTAGATGGAAACTGTTGACTTGTGACACACGACAGCAACTTTGATGCGTGAAATACAGGATAGGTGTGGAGGTGTGCTGGAATCTCTACAGTGTAGGACGGCCCATCTTCTCCGCCCTTGACTTCTAGAACTGGCCACGGTCCTCTGTACGCGGGCAGTAACTTCTGCGAGATGTTTTCCTCAGGAGCAAACTCTTTGGACTTGACCCAGACTAAGTCACCTACTTGGAACTATGACGGGCGACGGTGCTTATTAGCTTGCTCTATCATCTGGTGCTGGGCCTTCCTGAGGTTCTCAACAACAGTGGCTATCTCTTTCTCGTGCTGTATCGCGAACTCCATGGTACCGGGCGGTAGCCTGTGAGTCTGATCCCGGTTAAGTCCCTCAAACGGTCTACGCGGTCTCAAGGACTTGTGTAACTCGTTGGGAGTGCGACAGGTGGACAAATGCACGTTGTTATTGTACGCTCTGGCTACCTTGGGTAACATCTCGTCCCAGTTAATCTGATCAGGTCTAATGTACATACGCAAAACTTGTTGCAGGATCTTGTTCATCTGCTCTGTCCGACCGTTAGTCTTTGGATGGCGGCCAGATGACATCAACAACTTTGATCCATAGCCAGTTCTAACTAGTGAAACGACTATCTCTATCGCTAACTATAGACAATGGGACTCCATGCTCACTGTAACCCGAAAATCAAAAAAAAATTTGAATCACTAACTCTGTACGGGCCTCTGCAGGCAAAGGAACAAAGACAGCATACTTGCTAAATCTATCAACGATGACCATGACTTGGCTCTTGCCGTGCCTACTCTTGATGCCGGTGTCCATAAAGTCAATGGACACTGAATCTCCTTGCTGATCAGGAATAGGCAAGGGTCTTAGAAGACCTAGAGGGGCACAAGTAGTGGTCTTATTTCTTTGGCAAACTTCTCAATTGCGGACGTACTCTATGCAGTCGTTCTTCATTCCTGGCCACATATACGCATGCATCAGATTGGCTAAAGTCTTTTGCCAACCGAAGTGTCCCATTGTGTCGTGGCATTCCCCTAGGATCAGACTACGGATCTCTTCACTTTTAGGAACGCACAGACGGTCTACGACATTAGTCTTCTCAAACAACAACCCCTCTGTAGTGCGGTAATCTGGTTCGGTCTCTGGGGCCTCCTTGACCTTCTTGAGGAGGTCACTATAGATAGGGTCCTGCGCATACGCCTGTCTAACTTTCTCTTGCAGGTCACGCCCTATGTCCAGATAGTGAACTAAAGCTCCGAAGTAGTCTGATCTCCTACTTAGAACATCCGCAACTACATTGTACTTGCCCTTAACTGGCTTGAGCTCAAAGTCGTATTGGTCTATCTCAGCGGCCCACCTAGTCAACTTAGGTGTCATTTTGGCCTGTGTCTTTAGCCATCTAAGTGTCTCCTGGTCTGAATACACTTTGAAGTGCCTCCCAAGCAGGTAATGCTTCCAATGCTCTAGGGCCTTCCTGAGAGCGTAGAGTTCTCTCTCATACGTCGAGGTGGCAACCTTCTCTGAGGGCATCCTCGCTGACATGAACTCTATGGGTCTATAGCCATTGTCGTCGTCCTGATGTAACACGACGCCTATACCGTACTGACTAGCGTCCGTGGTGACGACAAATGGCAAGGACGGATCTGCCACCTTGAGGACATGATACTCTATTAACGCGCGCTTCAACTTCTTTAGCTCAGGCGTACAATCTTTATCCCACTGCCACATTGCCTCTTTCTTGAGCAACCTGCGAAGGGGTGCGGCGATGGTCGAGAAATTCCTCACGAACTTCCTGTAATAGTTAGCTAGGCCTAGGAACGATCGCAGCTCTGTCAACATGCGGGGCGTCGGCCAATCTCTAATCGCCGCTATCTTACTGTCCTCAGGCTTGATGCCATCTCCGTCTAACACGTGGCCCAAGTACAAAACTTGTGTCTTGGCCCACTCACAATTCTTTGCGTTGATCTTGAAGTTAGCCTCTCTCAGCTTCTCCAAGACCTGCCTCAAATGACCCTGGTGCTCCTGGAGGGTCCTACTGAATACTAAAATGTCGTCTAGATAAACTACGACGAATCTATCTAACCAAGGCCTAAACAAATCATTCATACATCGCTGAAATGTAGCTGGCGCATTGGTCAGTCCAAAGGGCATTACTATGAACTCGTAATGCCCATATCTAGTCCGGAATGTAGTCTTGTACTGGTCATCAGGATGGACCTCTATCTGATGATATCCGGACTTTAAATCAATCTTGGAACTCTCCTTCCTTCTTAGGGACAAACAAAACTGGTGCTCCAAAAGGAGACGAATTGGGCCTAATCCAACCTTTCTCTAGGAGCTCATCCAACTGCTTGCGCATCTCCTCTAACTCTCTAGGGGACATCCTGTAGACTGCTCCCTTAGGAGTTCTACTGCCAGGCTCCATCTCTATTCTATGCTGGATCGGCCGTGGCACTACTCCTGTCGACGGCTCTGTCAGGTCCTTAAACTCCTCCAGCAGCTTGGCAATGGTTGGATCCATGGGACTATCCCCTTCCTTAGGCTCAGTGATAGGTCTGACATACACTACGAAGACCTGATCTTCTAATTGCTCCTTTCTCACTAGTCGTGCGAACGCGGGAGCACTGAGACAACAATGCGCCAATGAGTTATCTACTCCTGACACATGAAACAGGCGGGCAGTCTTAACCTCGCCATACGGACTAGGGAGCCTACACTCATGCTCTCTCAAGTGGAGTGTGGCCCTTGCTGCCTCTCCCCAGTCCATACCTAGGACTATATCGAAAGGAAGGTCATGCTGAATGAGGAGAGTCAGGGAATGGAGCACTTTCTCCACCTTCCCATCTTTCTCAAGGCGGAAGTACGCCTGGACTCCCTCTACGTAGTCCTCAACACGCATAGTGCGGTTTTCTGCAATGACACTAACTATGGGGTCTTCTAACTTTTGGACTTTCAATCCTAGCCTCAACTTTTTCAGCGCTGTACGACTAATATAACTGCGCGTAGCCCCTGAATCTATAAGGGCCCCAACTCTACTCCTGAAAACTTCTACATCAACTAACACTAGCTGCCCTTTACTATCTTTCTTCATTTTGGCCCAGGCTGGCATCCTCTCCTTCAACTCTTCTGCCACGCCTGTGAGGTAAGTGCCTAGAGAGACGCTAACACAAGCAGTCTCTGGACAGCTAACTAGGCACGGGCCTGCAACTTCTGCCGAAGGCTCATGTGGTGTGGGAGTTTCCTGTACGCGCGCGCTCGCTTCTCCACGTGGCCTAATAGTAGGGGGAGTTGCAACCCCTACTGGCGGCTGCCTTTTGACTCCTGGGCAGCCCATCGGGCCTGTCTATACTTAGGACAATATTTTATGATATGGGCAGGGTCACCACAGTAAATGCACTACCCCTGCTCCATGCGTTGTTGCCACACTTTCTGGTCCAGGCCCAGATCTTCCCAGGGCCGGCCTTGTGGCCAGCCTGGCTCCTTTTTTTTTTTTTTTTTTTTTTTAAAAAAAAAAAAGGTCCTTATGGGCCGGTTCCATTCTGGGAAGCATCAGTCCGGTTCCTATTCCCCCGGCAAGTCATAAAGGAATATTACATCATGAAACACACTCACGCTTCCTTCCATATGGCTGAAGGACCCCTGACCAGCATTGATTGCTCCCTTGAGGGAGGATTGACTGTCAGCTTGCCCTAACAACTTGCTCCTCTCAGGTTCCCTTCTTGGGCCTGTCAAAATGACCTATTCAAAACGAAAGAAAGTGGTAGGATCTTGCTCCAGTCACTAATCTGAGTCTCCTTCCTTTCCAAAAAACCGGCTTGGTATCTCTGTTGCTCAGCCTAGGACACTGTTGTCTGTGTCGGGACTGTTTGGTTTTCTCCTAACATCTTATGAGTTGCGCCAGTCCATCCACCGGACATAAAAGATCTTTATCTCTGCAACTTTCCTTCGATCAGCCAGGTCTTGGTAAACTTCAACTGTACTGTGCGCTGTCGCTCGTCCTCGTCTGGTAGGGACAGTCTTGCCTTGTCCATCCTTGCCCAAAAGTCATCCTGACCCTTGTCCGAAATTTCTCTACCCTCTCTGAGAATCCCTTAAACCCTTAATCCCTAAACCCTCGATTACTATCCTGCTCTATGGGACCCTTACTTTCGTCTTATTCCCCCCTCTTGGATGTCTGATCATGGAATGTCTTGTCCACCCGTAGTTGTCTGTTGCTGGTGCCTCCTTCCTGGGGTTGAGTTGTGCCATTCCTTCCAGCAAATGCGGTCTTTTCATAACTCTGCAATCTTGCCGTTTATCAACCAATTCTTGCTGAAGGTCCATCTGTCCTTCTTTCGCTGTTCCTCGTCCTCCGTCCATGACTGCTTGGTCTTCCGCCATCTGCAGAGGATTTCAGCTTGTATCATCGTTTTCGTCTCCACCCAAACTTTCTCCCGTGGGTTGGACAGTCCTTCAATCGTTCTGCTGCATCTTTCCTTCCATATGACCCATAATCTAACCTTTCTGATGAGACCAAACCAGATTTTTTCTGTCTTCCAGAGCTGTTGAGGGATGTTAGTCAACAGGAGAAGTTGGATGGGATGTTCGGGGAAGGGAGTTGGGAATAGGGAGTCCCAGAATGCCGATGCTCTTGCCCAGTAGTCTGTCGCCTCTCTGCAATGTATTAGGCAGTGAACTATGTCTTCTACCGCCCCTTCATTACAGACCGTGCACAAGTCCGAACTACTGGGATCTGAACTCTTACGCCTCATGTGTAGCCATTGGTTCACTGGTAATGCCGCGTAGGCGATTAGCCATTGTAAGCTTCTGATTTTGATTGGTCTGATGAGCCTGAACTTTTTCCATTTGATCTGTGTGAGATTGTCTGCCTCTTGGCTCAGTAGATCGTGCCATCTTTTTTTAATGATAGGGTCGGGGTCTTTGGTTTTCAGTGACAGTCTGTATCCTAGTTTGACTGTATGGTCTTGAATTGGGGTTTTGGATTTGATGTTTTCAGTCTTGTCCGGCATCCATGCCCATTCAGCCGGGTCAAACTCCAAGTTACGGATTGCTGTGTCCGGTCTAAAGATTGACTTGGGCCAAGAGCCAATGACCCTTATCTTCCTGAGTAGGAAGGAGTCCAAGACTACCGACTCAACATTGYTATTCAGGATAATCRGCATACTGGWAGCAGTYGTGGARATTGGGAAGKAGAGGAAGGTGGCCTTGGTGTGCGAATCTTGTTGCATGTGAGAGAATTGGAAGGCTCTCGAGGGAGTCATTTCTTGTATCTTAAGTCCCCATTCTCCGGATTTCCATGGAGCGGCTTCCGTCAAGATATCTTTCCATTCCTGTGGAATAAGGCTKACAATGTACCGGAGATTGGGTYCTTGCTTGTGGCATCCTTTCAGTTGGGAACTGATTTCCTGTTCTGTCTTCCATTCTTTCCTGTCCTCATTCCATATGTGGGCGACTTTCCATATGCCGTTTTTGACCCAGGAGAGCCACTTTTGTTCTAAGAAAAGGGGGTTGTCGCCCTCATTTGTCACCCATTGGTTCCCGAAGAGCGGTTGTCTTAGTACTTCATCCTTGGATCTAGGTCTGTTGGACTTGYTAGGGATTATTTTTCTCCRGATTCGAAGTARAGACGTCCAGTATGGGGTATCAGGCYTATAGTTCTCTAATCTGGTGTCCYTCGTTCGATTTCTTCTGCCCGTGGCTATGATCCAGTCTTTATTCATTACYCAGAACAGTCCTGACATATCCTCTGGAG